TGGGGAGAAGGACTTGGGCGTGCTGGTGGGTAGTAAGACGAACATGAGCTAACAGTGTGCGCACGCAGCCCAAAAAGCCAACCGTATCCTGGGCTGCATCAAAAGATGTGTGGCCAGCAGGTTGAGGGGAGGTGATTCTGCCCCTCCACCCTGCCCTTGTGAGACCCCACCTAGAATAGTGCATCCAACTCTGAAGCCGCCAACACAAGACAGACACAGAGCTGTTGGAGCGGGTCCAGAGAAGGCCACAAAGATGATCAGGGGCTGGAGCACCTCCCCTATGAGGAGAGGCTGAGAGAGTTGGGGTTCTTCAGCCTGGAGAAGAGAAGGCTCCAGGGAGACCTTATAGCGGCCTTCCAGTGCTCAAAGAGGGCCTACAGGAAAGGTGGGGAGGGATGCTTTATCAGGGAGGGTAGTGATAGGATGAGAGGTAATGTTTTTAAACTAAAAGAGAGTAGATTTAGACTAGATGTTAGGAAGAAATTCTTTACTGTGAGGGTGGTGAGACTCTGGAGCAGGTTGCCCAGAGAAGCTGTGGCTGCCCACTCCCTGACAGCGTTCAAGGCCGGGTTGGATGGGGCTTTGGGCAACCTGGTCTGGTGGAAGGTATCCCTGCCATGGCAGGGGGGTTGCAACTAGATGATCTAGATGATTACAGCCTTGCCTTTGCTGTCATCTTTTCTATACATAGTGGACATGTTTGTACCTAAACACATAGGACTAGTGGAGATGAACTACCATTTTGCATTAGAAGCCTCATCTTTCCCAAATTCTGAAGTGCTAGCTTGCAATCTTAACTCATACAACACCACCAATACAGAACATACAACTAGATTTACTGATCTATTACTTTTCATGCAGGAGGGATTCTATAGTGTGCATTACTGGCATTCATTAACAAGAGAATAAGTCTGCAAAGAGAACTGTGTGGTGCTACCACATCTTGATCTTAATCTTGATTAGTCTAATGGCTAATCCTTAGTATAATAGCGTTGGCCCGAAAGGAAGAAAAGGAAATGCTATAGAAAAAGAAAATGCAGATGAAAGTTAAAATATCTTTATTTCAGTCTCCTTAAAATTTAAGTGGTCTGCCTGCTATTTTGGGATCTTACCTGATTTGGTGAACAAACAGGAAAATCTTCAACTGGTGGAATTAAACCCTGGGCAATTAACTGTCCATAGGATGGAGGAGCTTCTCTTCTTAACAGTTCAGCCTCAACCCTTGACAAATGAGTTTCAAATGATCTTTCAAAGAGAAAAGAAATTTCATAATACATAAGACTATGATGTGCATATATGTATATTTAAAACTACATCAGACTATTATAATCTGAAATAATAAATTTCAGCAGAAGTTTTATTAGTTTAACTGAAATTTAATCTACAAAGAATATACAGGAAGTCCTTGCGGTCATTCCTGTGGGTCTGTCCAGGTGAGACAAGAACAACAAAATCAACCCAACAATAAATTCCTTAAAAAAAAACCCAAAACAAAACAAAAAAACAAACAAAAGGAAGCATGGACTCAATATAAAAGGCACCCAGAAAGATGCTTATATTACTTTATAAAAATTGAAGAACATGTAATCCTGGTATGCGATAGTCTACAATAGAATGAATATGCTGTTAAATACAGAATTGAGGTATTTAATTGCTGAAATGCCACTTTTCCACATTTTCTTTTTGGGAACAACATCTGAAAGCTTAGGCCTCAATAGTTAAGTGATCAGAATACTTCTATTCCCTTCTAACTAACTTCTTTTTATGGTCAAATAAGAAGGAACAATGCCTTTAGAAATCACATGCAACAATAATTGTATATCAATAAAAATGTTTCAAGTATAATAATAAGAGATATGAAAATACTTTAAGAATTTAAGTTCTCAACGCCATCTGTTCTACTTACCTCCGCTCAAACATCCTGAGTGAGTACAATTTACAAGTGCATCCCAGTGCAATGACAAGCAGCAATCCACAAATAAGACTCCCAATGACAGCTGCAGTTATTACTCTAGTGGGCACAATGACTGGGCAATTCTCTTCATCACTGCCATCACCACAGTCATCTTGAGAATCACAAACCCAGCTCTCAAACACACAGCGGTTATTTTTGCAATGAAAATTTCCTGGCTGACAGAAGAAACAATTTTTTTCATCTGAACCATTAGGGCAATGATTCTGATAATTGCAGCGATCTGAACGAGGGTAGCAAACACCATTTCGAGAGCAGGGAAATTCATCTTTTTGGCACATGGTGCAGTTGGTTTCATCCCTTCCATTTGGACAGTGCCAGTAGCCATCGCAGCGTTGCTGCTCTGTGTAGCAACCCCAATTTCCACCACATGGGATTTCCCAGGGCAAACAGAAACCATCTACTTGATAGGTGGCATTGAATCCTCTTGCAGCATTCACTTTGTCAGCACAAAAATGCACTCTTATCTGTCCTGAGGATGAAACAACTGTGAGGGGAGCGTGAGAGTCAAATGCCGTTAGCACACGCAACAGCCTCCGTGGATTCTCCTCTAATCCATCATATATCTTGACATAGTCTCCATAACCTGTACCATCAAGTTTAAAATCAGTGAATCGCAAAATTACTTTGCGATGGTCACCAGTGTCTATCAGCCAGGTGCAGTTGCTTCCAGGTGGATAGAAGTCAGGATAGTTGGGAGAACTGAAAGTACCATAAAAGTATCTTAACCATTGCCCACATGTGGGCACATCACAGTCTATTTCGTCTCCTAGGTCAAGACAATCAATGTTACCATCACATTTTAAAGATTCTGGAAGGCAAGTGTAAAGCTTGGTGAAGCGAGAAAGACACTGGAACTGATTGTAAGCACAAGGTTGAAAGGAAGAAGCTGTCAGAGGATTAGCTTTGGCACAGATTTCTTCATCCGAGTTGTCTCCACATTCATTCATATTATTACATTTCCAACTTTCTGGAATGCACTTCCCGTTAGCGCAATGAAACTGGTCACAGTCACAATTTGGTTCATCAGATTTCCCTGAAATGAAAAAATAAGAAATTATAAGAATATTCTCTTTTTAGAATTTAGCACTTTGTGGTTTGTGCTGCATATTTATTTGCTGTACCACATAGCTCAGAATGGCAAAACAACAATTCAAAGTCTGTGTAAATTGTCACAACTTTCAATGAGTTTCAAGACAAACCAGTTTTTTCAAGTTGAAATTCTGTCAGCACATCAGCATAAGCCTCATCCTTAGCCGCTTTCAGTCAAATAACTTTAATCCAAGCAAGAAAACAATGCTCATTTATAGTGACTGAAAAAGCTGGCTTCTAAGGTGCTAGAAATAAGTCAGGAAAAAACTGTTTCTCTCCTTTATCACTCAAAATACACAGTTTGTCCTGCAGTATTAGTCACCTCTTCAAATTCCTTCTTTTAAAAACAGCCAGACCTCTCTCCCATTTTCATAGGTTCCTACTTTGTACCAAAGGATCTATGTCAAGACAGAAGCTGACAGTTGATGATTACCTATTACCACCAACCAAAGAGAAACTTCTGTCCTCATCTCTTCCCACTGCTCCTGCCTCTCCTCCAGCAACAAAGAGGAGTGCAGCAAATGCAGAAAAACATGCTTACCTGAACACAAAATTAGAAGTTAAGGATCCAAGTAGTGGTCCAGAAAACATGGAATTGTGTGTGGGGGGGAGGGGGTGGTGATTGTTGTTTGTCTGGTTTGTTTTGCTTTGTTTTGTTTTTTAAATTCTGAAAACAAAACCCAGTCAAGAGACACCTTTAAGAAAATGCGGTCTATTGGCTACTACCACACTTGTAACATCAAGAATATTTTTTTCAGGGCTTCCATTTATTAAAGTTCCAATCACGTTATACATGGAAGCATAGCTGGGAAGCAAGCTATTTCAGTTCTGCAGTAACTTAGCTGAGTCGAATACCCCTGTAGCACTTAAAATCACTGCACTTTCTAAAAATCATGGTACCAACTGTAAAATTTGCTATAAAACAAACTGCTGTGGTCAATCCTCCAAAAAAAAATTTATTTTTTTTTTTAAAATCTGCAATGCAGATGGTCCCACACAACAGTAATCCAGGAAATAAATTAAACAAATATATACTAAATCTAAATAACACTGAACCTTGGGTTTAAAAAAAGAAACAGGAAAGACAGCATGATGAACTTGCTGAAATACAGACTTTCCCAGGAGCAGCAGGTTCTATCTTGCTTTACAACAGACCAATTCAGATTGGAAGGGATCTCTGCAGGTCACCTAATCTGCTCAAAGCAAGGCTAAGTGAATTTTCATTGGGTTGTCCAAGGCCTTGTCCAATCAAGTATTTTCAAAGTTCTAGTGCTTAACCATACAAAGTGATAAAAGTCCTCATATCTAGTCTGAATTTTCCTTGCTGCAACTAATCTGCTCTGATAGGTCAAGTCATATCACACCCCCATTCTCCTTTTTGCTATTTTGCTACCTTAGAAAGCATTAAAAGAAATAATATACCTTGAAATAATCAATTTTTCAAAAAAAGATGCAATGTCAGCATTTGAAAAATTTCACAAATGCTAAGGCTTTTTAGAAAACGAATACAGGAAAAACATGAAACCAAGAGCGATATCCGTTCTAAGTCCTG